CAGCAATGGCCAGTGCCAAAAAATGAGCTGAACAAGACACCATCGCAAGGGAAAACATCAGGATTAGAAAAGCACCCACTGTTTGCTTCAATCCTTAGAAATAAAAGAAAGGGTCAGGTTAGAAGCCTAGGTCACTGTGTATTTACAGCTGTGTACTGGTTAAGTAACACTATAATATTCTGAGAAACTGATGTCAGAATTTAAAAAGTCATTTACTATACAACTACTCTGGGCCACCAATTTTGTCGTTTGTTTCTATATAATTACCCAAAGTTATCACACTGAAAAAAACTTTTCCACACATCCTGAGCTCTCTCATGTGTGATTTTGAACAATTTCTGAGTTTCTGAGATGGAGAGCTCCAGGCAAAACCATGGGCCAGAATCCTTCTGTATGGTCTTCTAAAGAAAACAGTACTAGCAATTAACTTCCCCAGATATCTTCATAGCACTCAGTGTGGGCTTGACTGCACTAGGAGGAGAATTAGGGTTTCACAACCTCCCAAAGTCTTAATATCCTGGAAGAGGAGAGGGTACCTTTAAAACCTAAATCCCCCTGGGGTTAAAGTTAAGTTTCATAAACTACTGCTCTGTATACCACAAGGAGCTTATGCTCTGGATCATATACTCTGACGATTCTTCAAATACCCATACAACTACTAATCAAGAGGCTGGACGTGTTTGAATTACATGTTTAAGTCTTTATGAGGCACATCTTATTTGAAAAAATGGAAGTTGTAAGCTGTGTCAGTGGTTCTTACACTGTAATGTAGTGCCAAAATAGATAATTTTGGTGTGTACATGCGTGTGTCAGGGAAATAGAAGAATATACTGATGCAATGACCCTGGGAGGTGCAGCCTGAGAATAAAACACAATCAAATCTGTCTCCAATCTTATGACAAGTATTTTGATTAAATCAATAAGCCCAAAGTCACCATACTGAAGCCATGAGACAGAAAGAAAAAAATAATGTATATCAATTTATCTCCTCTCAAATACAGTAATAGACATTATGTACCTACATATACCTTATTTCTCTATAGTGGGATATATAGAGGGATACAGATTAAAATCATGGATGGTTAGGCAATAAATATTATAGCTGCTTTGGTACAGTCTCAAATAGGTGTATAAACTCATTCCATAGTCGTGCATGACACTCAGCATCTGTCACCAAAATGTAGTTGTATAAATAATTTTAATTTCTGCTGGCAAGTATAGTGGTGTATACCTTCAATTCCAGCACTCAAGAAGCTGAGCCAGAAGGATTGCTGTGACCTTCAGGCCAGCTTGGGCTATACACTGAATTCAAAGCTAGTGTGAACTACACAGCAAGACTCAAACCAAAACAACAAAAACAAAAAGCAAAACAGTTGGTTTGGAACAAGACTTGAGAAAAACATCCATGTTACACAGTTGTTTTAAAGCAGGTACAGTGGATTCATGCCTTCCTAACTCATGACTTGGTGTATAGTTTTGAGAACCACAAATATATTTGCATATATATATACTGGCTTCACTTCAAATCCAAGGCTAAGGCACATTCTTTTTTTCTTGTTACTTACCTAATATGAAGTATAGTGTACAATTAAATATAATACTTGGTAACAATTTCCTGCATAGTAAATCACATAGCAGTTTTCCAAGGAAGTAAGATGA